CACCCCTTACCAGGGCCCAGGCCAAGAAGAAGCCTACAACCGAGGGACGTACCCTTGACTGGAATCAAACCTGAGACACTTTGGTCTGCAGGCCAATGCTCTATCCATTGAGTCAAATTGGCTAGGGCCATTCTCACTGATTTTTAAGTGTCCTGGTAAATACATACAAAATAGACTGTTGGAAGGATTACAACAGAAGCATTGGTAAAATTCTATGAGATATGGGGGAAGGATGAGTTAATATTGACTGAAGGATGTAAACCAGGGGACAAGCTTATAATTTGGTAAGTGGATATGGGGAAGGATATTTTAGGCAGAGGAACTAGCTTGAACAAAGGCCTGGAAATGAGCCTTCACTCAATGCTGATTTGATGCCTCACTTGTCCAAAACCTTCCCTGCCCACCTCCCTCTGTTAATGTCTGACCTGTGTATGGCATTTGAATGAATGTGAGTATCTCTTTAAACTCAGGTATGATTTAAAGTCTATCACAGATTCTATGTAGGTCACTCCCTGAATGTTGGCTAAATATAGCTGTGGGGGTGGCCTCATTCTCTTATTGTATCACAAATCCAAGTGCATCTGTTCACAGTGGAACAAATGAAGCAGTGGAAGTGAAGTTGGTCTATATGACCTCTATGATGCTGTGATTATAACCCCATTCTTGTTTAAAAGAATGCTTTCTAAGCCCCAATTTGCTTACTCCAAGCAACATTTAACCAAGAGAAGATGGAGAAGTTAAAGAAGAAGAGGAAGAAGAAGGAGGGGAGCAGGGCAAGGTTACCTGTAATAGAATACAATCTACACTAAAATGGGAGAGCAAAATGTGAAATTTGAAGCACAATATGGCATTTCAATCACTTTATCTCCTTATTTAATTTTCTTGATAGAGCCCTCCATTCTTACATTATAGTAAATATTAACTTGTTTTTTTTATTGTTTATCTCTTTCTAGAATGTAAGCTCCAAGGGCAGGATTTAGTACATTTTGATTTCTGTTGTATTCTCAGCATTAAGTACAATACCTGGAATATAAAATATATTCAATAAATAATAGCTGAATGAATTAATGAATATCTGAAAAATGTGTATATTGCTTGGAGCCAAGAGGTCTAATGCAGTCATTCAATCTGGTACCAAATGGTGTTTGGAAATTGTCTGGTTCTATGGAAAAAAAGAATAGATCCTCACTTCATACCCTAATCAAAATAAACTCTAAAGTGTTTAAAGGGTTAAATATAAAAATCTACACTAAAAAAAAGAGAAACATGCAAATTGGTGTCCGCTATGCCCACCAGCCAATCAGAGCAACTATGCAAATTAACCCAACAAAGATGGCGGTTAATTTGCATATGCAGGCGCGGAGCGAAGACCGAAGGCTCTGGTCGGAGTGAAGACTGAAGACTGAAGAGGCTTGGCTTCTCCGCTGCGACAGCAGAGGAGCCAAGCCTTGCTGTGGCCGGAGGAGAGAAGACAAGGCTTCTCGGCTGCGGCTGGACCAAAGGCCTGGGTCCCAGGTGCCGAAGGAAAACCGGTGCTGGCAGCCAGGGGAAGGAAGGCCTATTGCGTGAATCTTTGTGCAACGGGCCTCTAGTAAAACCATAAAAGTTTAGCATTAGTGAATATTTGTTTCTGGATGTGAAATATTTAAGTGAAAAAGCACTAGAAGAAATCACAATGGAAAGGGTTAGAGTTCATCCACATAATAATTAAAATTTTTCCCAACATAAATATATTTTTAAAAAATTCAAAGGCAAATAAAAAAATTGGAAAATCCCTACTATTAACCCTTTGTAATATTTATATATTCATAGAAATTAATAAAAAAGGAAACTTCTGAGACCTCAGTAGAATATAGGCAAAGGACATAGACAATTTATCAAGGTAAAATTATAAATGTCTAATAAATAGGTTGAAGCTCAAAGAAACAGTGATTAAAACAAGGAGTATTATTGTTTTACTACCTAATTAGCAAATAATAAAATAATTACTAATATTTCAAAAAATATTTTTTATTGATTTCAGAGAGGAAGGGAGAGGTAGAGATAGAAACATCAATGATGACAGAGAATCATTGATCGGCTGTCTCCTGCACACCCCCTATTGGGGATTGAGCCCACAACCTGGCATGTGCCCTTGACTGGAATCGAACCCAGGACCCTTCAGTCCTCAGGCCAACACTCTATCCACTGAGCCAAACCAGCTAAGGACATAATATTTAGTTTTGATGAGTGTGCATAAATTGGCAGAAACTTCAATGAAAATTATTAGTTAAAATGTAGTAAAAATGTTAAAATGGTCATACCCCAGTTGGCTCTTTGTTTTTTGGAAGGACTTGACCTCCTTGATAAGAGTAAGAGATACAGAGACCCAAATCGAGTCACAGAATGTGCACTACCATCTCCCAGTTCATTCCAGGCAGAATTACTGCCAGGTCAGATGAGTTAGTGTGGATACACTGACAGCTCCTTGGCTCAGTATATTTCTTTTTATTTGAACTCAGATCTATTTCCTTTTCTCTCATCCTTTGTCCATTGTATGTAGCTCTCTCCAAATCCACCCCTCTCTCTTTTTCAGAGTCAGATTGTGTTGCTTCACTCTTGATTACTTTATTTTGCATATGGATTTTTAAATTATGATTACATTAACATGAGAAGTGGTGGGGGTGGTTCCACAGTTAAGGTAACAGATGTGTTAACTGCACAATTTAGTCCTTGTGCAACCATCACATTAATGATTTGAACTTCGACCTGTTTTTGGTTCACTGAAGCCTTAGGAATGTAAACACTGCAACTTCCTCCATTTATATTATGTTTCTTATCTTATTTGAGACATGTTTTTCTAAATATACTAATTTAGGATATTACACATGATACAGAATGTTTCTAAGAATATACAACCATATTATTATAACTTTCAAACCCTCTGGTCAAATATATTTTGTATATGTATTAATTGAATATACGATCTCTTTCCAAAACTAAATTTCCCTTTGGGTCAAATATGACCTAACATCCTTTAACTCATAGTAAATTTGTATTTAGAAATTTATCCTAAAGAAACAATCTAAAATACACACAAAGCTTTAAATAAAAAGCATATGTCAGCATTATTTATAATATTGAAAAGTTACAAACAACATAAATTTCCAACAAGGATAAATGGGTAGCTAAACTCTGGCATAACCATAGGATGGAATATCATGTAGTCATTAAAAATAGACATTTAAAAAATGAAGGATATGGGAAGGGGTTTATAAGAATGTTAAGCAAAAAGAAGGGGGCAGAATCAAAATATACCTGTAGTGTGATTTCAACCATATAAATATCTGCATTCAAATGCATTGGACAAAACAGAGGGAAATATGTCTAAACATGAATGGTTATATTGAAGTAATGAGATTTGGGGTGATTCTTTTTTTTTTCTTTTTCTCTGTAATGAAAATAATTTAAGAAAATGAATTATGTGCCAAAAGAACCTCCAATTGAAAAACTATGGGAACCAGTCCTACAATAATAGGTTTTATTATTTAAGTTGCCATTGAAAGTTTTATAGGATTTATAAGTCCTGTTTGAGTCTCAGTCTCTTTTTACCTTTGAGGAATATCTTCTAACCCTAGAGAAGTTAACTCTATTAGGCACCCAGGGATCAGTAAGATCAATTTCTGGCAAACCCGGCTTCATGTCAGTTTCAATAGTGCCCTGTAATGACTTTAAGGGTCAACTTCTGTAGGGAGTAGAGAGAAGTAGATTTGGGAAATTTACTCTCTTTTTTTTAAATAATGATTTTTTTATTATGAAAAATTGACATTCAGATGAGCCTGAAAAAATCATAGTGGGAAATTTACTCTTGACTTGCTCCCCACTTAGTGTTTTGTTTTTTTTTAAAATATATTTTTATTGATTTCAGAGAGGAAGGGAGAGGGAGAGAGAGATAGACACATCAATGTGAGAATCATTTATCGGCTGCTTCCTGCACACCCCACACTGGGGATTGAGCCTGCAACACAGGCATGTGCCCTGACCAGGAATTGAACTGTGACCTCTTGGTTCATAGGTCAATGCTCTACCACTAAGCCATGCCGGCCGGGCCCCACTTTGTGTTTTAAATCATCGCATTTCTGGGGATCAATAAAGAAGCCTAAAATTAGGGAGACAGAAGCTGGCAGAAAGACCATGTTTCTTCTGTAGCAATCCTGGTTAAGGGGAAGCCAAAACAATTACCTTGGCATGTGCTACTTCAAAGCACCTTGGCTTTTGCTCTTATAGAGCACTTAGTCAGGTGGTGTAGGAATTTGGCATGTCTTGAAGAAGTTTGCCAAATGTTGACATTCCTGAGTTTTCAGGGTTCTCAAGGCACAGGTCCAGTCCCCTGAATTTGCCTCATAGTAGGCTCTCTGAACTTGATAATGGGACAGAAAGGAAGGAGAAGTCTGTGTAAAAAACACACTGGAACAATGTGTATACTTTATGAAAATTTAGTTTGATGGATCTTTGGTGGAAAAGAAACTGGAAGATGTTGACTAAAACTCATCTTAGGAAGAGTTAAAACACACACACAACAGCAAGAGTTAAGCCAAGAAAATAAAGAAAACTGAGAAACAGAAATTAAGAGCAGGAAATAGAAAGAATTCGAACTCCTCTCCCCTATTTCTTTAAGCCTAAGATGCCCTCTGTGGTACCCTAGGCTTCGAAGTACAAGTCTTCCCTGAACCTGACTCCAGTGGGAGCCCGCCTTCAGCGGCAGGATGGAGGGATCATAACCTCTCTAGAGCAGCTTCATGAAAAAATCAACGAGATGAGCAACGTGTTCAACTCGCTGGAGAACAAGGTAGACACCCATTTCTAAACCTTGGGGTGGGCTGAGGGCTGTCAAATAAGAAAGCTGAAGAGAGAGCAGAGTAAAAGATATAAGTCCATGTCTTCAGAGTATTTTTTATTCACAAATGAATGGCCAGCTGGCCCTGGAAAACCAGTCAGTAGCAACTAAAGATACCAAGGGCCCTAACCGGTTTGGCTCAGTGGATAGAGCGTTGGCCTGCAGACTGAAAGGTCCCAGGTTCGATTCCGGTCAAGGGCATGTACCTGGGTTGCGGGCACATCCCCAATAGGGACTGTGCACGAGGCAGCTGGTCGATGTTTCTCTCTCATCGATGTTTTTAACTCTCTATCCCTCTCCCTTCCTCTCTGTAATAAATCAATAAAATATATTAAAAAAAAAAAGATACCAAGGGCCCAAGCATCCTAAAAGGGACAGGCTGTGTCAGGGGTGTGACTGCGCTCACTATGGCATCGCTCCCTGGCTGGTCACTGGTTGTGGAGCTATATCTAAAATAGTAGTGTTGCTTCAGTGGCAGGTATCTAATGGGCTCAAAGTAATATATGTGAAGGAAAATGGCTCACAGCTCAAAATGGTTTCACAATTCCCAAAGTCCCTATATAACCTGTCAGAGAAAATTTTTGATAGTTTTTAATTTTTCGAGAGCTAGGGTTCTACAGGTGAGGAAAAATCCTTCTGTTGTCTTTTGGCTCCTGGGGAAACTCCATGAATCCACCTACGAGAGTAGTGATCATGACACCTATTTCTGTCAGATACTGGTTCCCTCCGTTTTTCAAGCAGGACACCTGAGTGAATTTCAGAGCACCTGCATGAATGCTAGGTTTTCTTCCTTCAGTTTTAAAACTTGCATACATTTTGCTTTGATATTATATAGCTGTGGATTTTGCTTATTTTGCTCACAGATGAATTTACATAATGAGAATTACCAGATCAAAAGTAGTTGATCTGGAGATTTAATCCATCATGATGACTGCATTAGGACATGTGCTAAAATCCATCACAAAGATTAAATAAAATTTAAATGATTGGAATAAAAAGCAGATTGCTCATATTGTTTCCCAAACACTTGACAGGTCTGGCTTTTTTCTCTCTGAATGATCTCTTTGGTTCCTCTCATTTTTCCCTACTCCCAGCCCTCGAAAGAAACCTTTGTGAACCACAAAATGCTATACTTTAGAAAAGTGGTGTACTTATAACTAAGTCAGTTTATAGTGGGAAGTGCAAGTTGGAACCATTTAGACAACCAGATTCTAAAATGTTTAGAAATACACATTTGAAGGAATTTTGTTCAAGTACCTTTAAAATTAGAATACTTGCCCTAGCTGGTTTGGCTCAGTGGATAGAGCATTGGCCTGCAGACTGAAGGGTCCTGGGTTCAATTCTGGTCAAGGGCACATGCCCAGGTTTCGGGGTCAATCCCCAGTAGGGGGCATGCAGGAGGCAGCCAATCAATGATTCTCCCTCATCATTGATGTTTCTCTCTCTCCCTCTCCCTCCCTGAAGTCAATAAAAAATGTTAAAAAAATAAAGTTAGAATACTTGGTGGCTATCTTAATTATAGAACAAATCTTCTAAAAATGTCTGTTTTACAGAGAGATCTGGAGCTAAGAGTTCCTCTACTTAGCAGAGTATAAGATTATACATGTCAAGAAAGTAATGTTATCTTATAAAGTTATTGTCTGTTGGAAATGCTTATTTTTTAACCAAGATTTAATGTACATTTACTCTTAACACATGGAACATATAAAGAGTTCATACTGAATAAATGGTATTCATTTAGTCAAAAAAGGTAAAAAGGAGGAATTTACATCAAGTTTTAGCTACATTGTTTGAAATACAAATATGCAGATTTTATCACTGAAAAAAATCTCAATTGTGTTTCTTCATCAGGAACTTTGGAAATGCTTTTTCATTTGTTCAATAAATAAAACTCAACTTTAGAAGTGCTCCATTTTCTCCACACTTGTTTGTGCTTAACTTAAAACAAACACTTAATTGTTGAAAGTATTATATATGTCCCCCTTTTTTCCCCATTGACCCCTTCTAACCCGCTCTCACCTCTCACCCCAGGCCTTTACCACACTACTGTCTGTGTCCATGGGTTATGCATATATGCATACAAGTTCTTTGGCTGATCTCTTCCCACTCACCACCCACGCCCGCCTTCCCTCTGAGATTCCACAGTCTGTTCCATGCTTCTATGTCTCTGGATCTATTTTGACCATCAGTTTATTTTGTTCATTAGACATGTGATACTTGTCTTTCTCTGACTGGCTTACAGTATTTTACTTAGCATAGTACTTTCCAGGTCCATACCACCCTAGACACGCCTGATCTTATCTGTGCTTAACTTTTTGATTTGCCACTTAAAAGGGGAGAATTAAAATTTCTTAAACACCTTCAATGTACCTAGCATGTACTAGGACAGGCACCTTACCTACATTTATTCATTTTAGTATCAAAACAGCCTTGTGAAATAGGTGTTGTGATGGTTATTTTATGGATGAGGAAACTGCTACAAAGAGGTTAACCAACTTGCCTAAGATCTTAGTACTTGTGGGAAAGTGCTAAGATTTATACCCTATCTGACTCCAATATTGATCCCCGTTTCATGTGTGGAAGTTGACAATAGAAGTCCAATGTGTGCACTGCAACATGACCAGACTTGACTGCAGAAGATGAATTATATCACTATCAACAACATGCTGAGCTCCGACCGTTGTAAATACTTCTGTGCCTTCCTTAAAGCATACTGCCCCTGAAAATACTATTATTTCCTTTTTCATGCTATCACTCAAAAATTTAAAAAAAGTCTTCACTTTTAAAGAAATTCTCAGATATGTTTAGTTATCACCCTTTTTATCATTTAATTTTTTAAGGAAATAACTAAATTTCTTCATCTTCTCCTAACAACCAAGATATGACCTATCCTTTTTCTCATGGAATTCGAAGAGGTACAGGACCAAGACTGTTTTTCAAGTAAATCTTATTTTTTTTAAAATACTTTTTTTTTATTGATTTCAGAAAGGGAGAGAGAGAGAGAAATATCAGTGAAGAGAGAATCATTGACTGGCTGCCTCCTGCATGCCCCACACTGGAGATTCAGCCCTCAACCCAGGCATGTGCCCTGACCAGGAATTGAACAGTAACCTCCTGGTTCATAGGTCAACGCTCAACCACTGAACCACACTGGCTGGGCTCAAGTAAATCTCATTTTAATCAAAGGTGTTAGAATACATAAGTAGCTTATAGGTGCACTTGTAAAATTAATTATTTGCGTGCTTTCTTGTCACTATCAAGCAGCAGCATGTGCTGTATAAAAAAGACCTTCTTTTCCCTAGATCAGGGGTGGGGAATCTTTTTTCTGCCAAGGGTCATTTGGATATTTATAACATAATTTGTGGAGCATACAAAATTATGAACTTAAAAATTAGCCTGCTATATTTGGTCAAACATTTAATTAACTCACCCCTAATGTCTTGGTAGGGCCAGACAAAATGATTTCACAGGCTTCATATGGCTTGCGGGCCAGATGTTCCCCATCCCTGCCCTAGATGCATGGGGCCAAGATTGCCTTAAGTTATCCAAACTTTAGTGTAACAGGAAATGTGGTCTGTAAATTTTCAAAAGCCTGGTTTCTCAAACAAAAAGAAAAATTCAAAAGGTCAATGGTGCTATTTATAATTCTTTATAGTAAACTGAATTCACTCTTTGTGTATTATTTAGTTGCAGGCCCTGGCCTCTGAACTCAAAACTGGTTTCACAGAAGCAATGCAAGAACTGTCAAGAATTCAACATGGAGAATATGCTTTGGAAGAAAAGGTTAAGACCTGCAAATGTTCCATGGAAGAAAAAGTTACTGAGATGAAGAATTCATTAAACTATTTCAAAGTAGGCCCCCCTCTTCTATTTCACTGCTGAAGAAAGATCCTTGGTCTTGGTTACACAAGAAGAAAACTTACCTTTTCACATAGCAGCCAAATAGAAGAATATTCCCTCTATCCCATTCACGAATTATCATGGAAAAATATATATTTTAGGCTTTTCTTTTTTTTTTAAATATATTTTATTGATTTTTTAAAGAGAGGAAGGGAGAGGGATAGAGAGTCAGAAACATCGATGAGAGAGAGAAACATCGATCAGCCGCCTCCTGCACACTCCCCACTGGGGATGCGCCCGCAACCAAGGTACATGCCCTTGACCGGAATCGAACCTGGGACCCTTGAGTCCGCAGGCCGATGCTCTATCCGCTGAGCCAAACCGGCCAGGGCTAGGCTTTTCTTTTTTGGATCTTTGTGTTAAAATTAGAGGCCACAGAAGTAAAATTTTCATCTCTCATCCATTGATTGATTCATTCATTCAACAAATATGTATTAAAAGCTTACTGTATACTAGATACTATATTATGTATTTTTAGCCCATATGCCAGATTAAGTGCATACTGATGCTTACTTTTTAGGAAGAGCTGAGCAATGCCATGTCAATGATCCAGGCAATCACTTCCAAACAAGAAGAGATGCAACAGAAAATTGAACAGCTTCAACAGGAGAAGCGAAGAGAATCTCGAAAAGTGAAAGCCAAGTGAGTTTTCTACAAAAAATTGACCAAAGGCAAAGCTGTAAGTGATGACTTTACAGAGACACCAAGAACACCTTCCTCACTATCAGTATATAGCTAGCTGGCCACTGGGATCTATGGGTCAGCATCTGATAGAGTCATAAAAGTTGGTTAATACTAAGAATTGATGGTTACTATTAAATGGAAATGCACGTAATAGGCAGTAAAATGAAAATGGTATAAAATGGCATGTAGAATTTTATTTCAACTATAAAATAACAGCTAAAAAGATTTTATTTTTTAAATATATTTTTATTGATTTCAGAGAGGAAGGGAGAGGGAGAGAGAGATAGAAACATCAATGATGAGAGAGAATCATTGATTGCTGCCTCCTGCATGCCCCACACTGGGGCTTGAGCCCACAACCCAGGTATGTGCCCTGACTAGGACTCAAACCGTGACCTCCCGGTTCATAGTTCAACACTAAACCACTGAGCCATGTAGGCCAGGCAAGACATATTTTAAAATAACGATTGTTGTGTTAAGATGGGAGGGTCACCAGTGATTTTCTTTTTATATTAGTTTTCTAAAATTTCTCTAATGCTATTGTTTTCTTCTACCATGGAAAATAAGTTTATATTAAACAACTAGAGGTCTGGTGCACAAAATTCATACACAGGTAGGGTCCCTCGGCCTGGCTGGCGATCAGGGCCAATCAGGGCCTATTGGGCCCCTCCAGCTGCTGGACGGGGCCTCCCTTCCCTGGCTGCCGGCTACCGGCCAGGGCCTTCTTTCATTCCGTGCCACCCCCTGGTAGTCAGCACACTTCATAGTGAGCGATAGAACTCATGGACTCCCAGTCAAACTTCTGCGAGGACACTCTGCATATTAGCCTTTTACATATATAGACTAGAGGCGTGGTGCACGAAATTCGTGCACAGGGATGGGGGTCCCTCAACCTGGCCTGCAACAACGCCAGCGTTCCTCGCCCTGCCCTCTGGCCTGAGGCCCCTCCCCTCCCTCTGTGCAGCTGGGGCGTAGACACTGGGCTCGCATTGCCCAGGCGACACTGCCAGCGTCCTGCCCCGGCCACTATGGGTGCAGCCTTCTTTGTCGCAGAGTGATGGTTAATTTGCATATTACTCTTTTATTAGATAGGATACCTCAACCATGTTGACTCACGTAGTTTCACCACTAAACATACATAATCTTTATTGTTATACTAGAGGCCCAGTGCACGATATTTGTGCACTGGGGGAGGGAGGAGGTGTCCCTCAGCCTGGCCTGCGCCCTCTCGTTGTCCGGGACCCCCCGAGGGGTCCTTAGTGCTGCCATGGAGACAGGAGAGGCTCCTGCCACTGCTGCTGCGCTTGCCAGCTGTGAGCCCAGTGTTGAGCAGCGCTCCCCTGTGGGAGCACACTGACCACCAGGGGGCAGCTCCTGCATTGAGTGTCTGCCCCCTGGTGGTCAGTGCGCATCATAGCGACTGGTTGTTCCGTCTATTTGCATATTAGGGTTTTATTATATAGGATGTTTTTAATAGCATCAAATTTAAACTAGAAATATGGCAATAACATCTGTGTGGCTCTGGAGAATGGCTAATTGTTTTCAGCTGAAGACCTTCTGTCTCCTGGTACCATTGTGTTGCTTTGTTAAATGAATGTAAATCATCCTAAGCAAATTGTCACCACTGCAAACTCTATAAAGACCCTGATGACAGGGAAGCCAGTAACAGAGAAATAAGAATGTAGATATTACAATTAGGTGATTTATAGATATTTAAAATTTTTTCTTCAACTTTGGTGATGAATTAAGTTGTTAGTGTTTGACCATTGTTAATTTTATATGGTTCAACACAATAACTTAGAAATTTTCTTGAATTATTCTGAACTGAATCTCTTCCGAACCCACCAGGTATTAAGACCTTTTGCTTCCTTTCCTAGGAAAACTCAAAAAGAAGAACATGGCTCACAGGCTGGGCCTGCTCAAGCACAAGGAAGTCCTTTCCGTTCAATCAATATCCCTGAGCCTGTTCTTCCAAGTGAAGACTTCACAAACCTCTTGCCTTCTCAGGCCTATGAAAAAGGTACAGCTCACAAATCATATTGAATTAGCCACGAATTTTTCTCCTTGATTCTGAGGGCTTAAGTAATCATCAGAATGGGCCTAAGGCCTGCATCCTTGTTAGAGGAAAATGGTGTATTGCTTAGAATTTTCCCTCTTGCATCTGGAATTTAAAAGAATCCAGAGGATCTGAGAAATCAGGAGAGTCTGCCTAATTTAAAAATGTTTTCTTTTTTGGGAAAATACTGGGTGTTTTGAATTTCAAATGGACCAGAGATACTTTGTTGTACAACCATAAGAAGGAAAATGTTTAAAAAATTACTCTAATAAATCGTTTTATTTCCCATATTACTTTCTCAATCCTTGTCTCTCTGCATAGACATTTTAAAGTAGCTATATTCTTAGCATGGATAAAACTGTGTTCTGCTTCTTTTTCAGCAAAGGTTTCACTGACATGAGAAAGATATATCTGCCCTAACTGCAGGCAGTGCCCTCATGCAATCTAACTCTGTACTTCTCTTTTTCTGGAAAACCAGAGCTGGTGCTGTCTGTGGGCTGAAACAGTCACAGCCACATCCCTGTCCTGAGAGATGTTAGAACAGATAATAGAAATTGTAGTTGGGCAGCACTGAAGAAACTGGCATTCCAAGGGATGTCCGCAGACATCGGTTAGGGACCTGTGTTTAACTCAGGAAAAGAAACAAAACAAAAAATGATTGATACTTCTTTGTATCCTCAACAAAATCTAGCAAAGCACCTACAGGAGAATGAATGTAGATATTAAGAATGTTTAGGTGAATTTTCTTTTCTTTTGGTTGTATGTAGAAAGCCTCCAAAAGAGGCTCAGTGACTTCTCAACCAATTGTAAAGTCTTCAATTGGCTTAATGAACAATTTGGCTCATATATTCAATGGCAATATATGTGTTTTGAATAACTGAATTTAAAAATCTAAATCAAATGGCTTTTAATCAATATAAACTTTAAAGTACAGATTTGCTTTTTAAAATTTTTTTATCCACTTGAGCAGTTATTTTACTTTTTTTTTTCTTTCTATTTTTTGAGCAGTTATTTTAGAGATGGATAGGGGCAGCCTGGGAAAACTCACTTGATCCATCTGGGATGTGGGTTTATGGTAGGTGGCTCTATATTCTTTGCTCTATGTCATGAAGAGCATGACATAAAAGATGGTCTTGTTAGGGGAGATTACAGGAGGGGCTTGGAATGTAGAGGTCAGGTCAATGCCAGGTCTGGGGCAACTGAACATTTTCACAAGAGAAATGATTAGAAATTATATTTGTAAAGTGTCCAGATGGATTTAAATGAGCTATTTAATGGCAACTCCTCCTTCCTTCACTGTTGTGTAGGCATGGCTTATATAACATAGTTTATCCTACCAAGTTGCCGCAAAAATTTGGGGATAATATGTCATAATAAGATATTATGTATTGGTGGTAGGTTATGTTAAACTCAAGATCAAAAGACTAAACTTTCAGAAAGGATTGACTTACCCACTGTTAGCTATAATACAGTACCCCCAAATTCAGTAGCTTAAAATAGCAAACATTCATTATGTCACAGTTTCTCTGAGTCAGGAATATATATACAGCTAAGCTGGGTGCCTCTGGCTCAGCTAAGCTGAGGTTGCAGTCAAGCTGTTGGCTATACCCACTCATCCTTCCTTCTATCCATTCATCCATCCATTCATCCACCCCAGGCATTGATTTAAATGATGGGATATAGTAATGAACAAAACAACAAAAATTCCTGCCCTCATGGAGAACTGGTTCTGAAGGAAACAGACAATGAACAAGATAAATAAAATACATAATACGTTAGATAGTGACGAGGAGAAAATAAAGAAACATAGGTGTAATTTTATAGTGTGTACCAGGAAAAGACCTGAAGGAAGTGAGGAAGTTAGCTATGATACTGAGGGAAAGAAAGGGAACAGCCACTACTGTTATGGGTTGGCTCAACCTACCCCATAACACTACCAATAGGAGATGCAGTTTTTTCTTTTTAAAAGAAAGGGAACAGCAGGCAGGGAAGAAGGGCAGATATTTTAGGGTCTTAAAATCATTACACAGTCTTTGGCTTTTGCACTAACATGGGAAGCCATCAGAGGGCTAAGCAGAGGAACGACAGGATCTGACATATTTTAACAGCACCATTCTGACTCCTCTCACTACCCTCTTCACCATCAGTTAAGCAATAATTTAGCTCTTACTGTGTGTCAGGTACCACTTTAAGCAGCTTACAAATATTAACTGATTTAATACTTATGGTAGACTATGAGGTAAGTACCACTATTACATCTTTTTACAAATGGGAAAATAGCACTTGTCACATATTGTGTGTTTTTTTCCCACTGCTCTGTCTCCCCCAGAAAAAAAGTGAATTCTGTGAGTCTGTCCCTAGTGCCTAGCTCATAGAAGATGCCCAGTCCATGTTAGTGGAATGAATACTGATTGAAGGCTTTCCTTTCTCTGCAGCCCAAGAGTCCAGATCCATGCATATAGGAGAGAGTAATGTGAAGGGAATGATGGGTCCTGGTAAGTGGCTCTTCTTTTTTCTTCTAGCAATTCCATCCTTTCCCTTTTTTCACCTCCCCTGCTTTTACTCCCTCAGTGCCAAATCAGGCATTAAAGAACTCAGGCAAAATGAAGCATACTGGTTATTAAGATTCCGAGACATATGTTGGAGTAGATCAGTGACTCAATTAAACCCAAGAACAGAGAAGGGGTGGGGAAGTTTAAGATCAAACCAGTATTCTTGATTCTTTCTGACTCCTTTCAATTACAGTACGGATGAGTTAACATTAACTGAGAACTCACAGGTGTATGTAGCATGACATAGTTGTATATGAACACACATTTTACAGTTTACTTCAGCGATTTTCAACCTTTTTCATATCATGGCACACACAAACTAATTACTAAAATTCTGCTGTACACCAAAAAATATATTTTGCCTAACAAAAAATAGATATAATTTTATTCATTCACACAGATTGGCTATTGTTGGGTTGGCTATTATCATTTTTTTTATTTAACAATTTAATGGAAAAAGAGGTCAGGTATTGCATGTTTTAAAAATTCGTGTGGCACACTGGTTGAAAATCACTGGTTTACTTCATTAAAAAGTTATTTACTTAATAGACAAGTCACCCAAGTTTTATAACTTATTTCATCTTCCCTCACTCACTTACTCCTTCCTTTCTGCAACTTACCATCATCAGGGCCAAGGGGGACAAGTTCCAAAAGCTGACACTGTCTTTGGCCCTTTCCGTCTCTTTCCGTACTTTCTTCCCAGTGCTGCAGGTACCTGATGTGCTCACCTGAAAGGAAGCAGTATGAGTCAATACATACTATACAAATTAAAATTATTTTATAAATTTATCTTTAAAAACTTATTTAGTAGAGACTATGTATAAAGAGTAGAAGTTGTATAGACCAGAAGCAGAGAGAGGTGATCCTTTGCAACTGTGGAGACTTTTAATCCTTAGTTAATATTTCATCCCAGGAGCATGATATTTAAGAATTAGTAACAAATACAATTTAAAAAAATCAGATCTTGATGGCAAGTGTTATTTTTCAGGAATGAACCCAACGACTCCAGAAGCAGAAGAAAACCTCAAGCCTTGCCTCACAGCCGATATTCAGTCTAAGGGCCATGTGCCATCCGGCGTGTGGAGGCAGCCGAAGGATGGGAAAGAATGGGGCGAGGAATATGTCACAAAAGACCACCCAGATAAACTCAAGGAAGTTGGCCAGGGCAGACATAGTTCCTTGGAAAATGTTTTATGTGAAACTTCTTTAGCTGGTAAGCCCCAAGGGGGAATGCAGGCTGAAATTTTAAAGAACACGATGACCGAAGGGCTAGAATACTTGTAATTTAGATTCAGTGGACATATGAGACTGCCTCGTATATGATTTCCTTTCCAGATGAACTAGACAAAGCCTTATAGAGGTCACAATGGCCAGCTGGGACTACCACCTTGATTCTGGGTATCCACTCATTTAAAAAATATATATTTTTACTGCCTGGCCAATGTGGCTCAGGGGGTGAGCATCCACACATGAACCAGCAGGCTATGGTTCGATTCCCAGTCAGGGCACATGCCTGGGTTTCAGGCTTAATCCTCAGTAGTGGTCTTGCAGGAGGCAGCCAATTGATTCTCTCTCATCATTGATGTTTCTCTCTCTCTCTCCCTCCTTCTCTGAAATCAAATATATTTTGAAATGTATTTTTTATTGATTTTTAAAAAATATATATTTTATTGATTTTTTACAGAGAGGGAGGGAGAGGGTTAGAGAGTTAGAAACATCAATGAGAGAGAAACATCGATCAGCTGCCTCCTGCACACCCCCTACTGGGGATGTGCCCGCAACCAAGGTACATGCCCTTGACTGGAGGAACCGAACGGACCCTTCAGTCCACAGGCCGACGCTCTATCCACTGAACCAAATCGGCCAGGGCTTATTGATTTTTTTAAGGGAGAAGGAGGGAGAAAAAATATATCTTTTTGCACTATGAACCGTAACCTCCTGGTTCATGAGTCAAAGCTCAACCACTGAGCAACACCAGCTGGGCAATGTTGAGCATCTTTTCATATGCTTATTGCTTTCAATATCTTTGTATTGCTTTTATCATTTGATAGGGTTTTGGGGAGAAGTGGTTAACAATTCCTTCCTTGGTTTGCTTTTAAAGCTAAAAGACAGACTGTGGCTCTGGAACTGCTTGAATCAGAAAGAAAATACGTCATTAACATCTCTCTGATCCTGAAGATCAAGGCAACATTCCAGGGGTCAGATGGAAAGAGGAATTCCAAAGAGAGAAGGTATCCATGTATTCATTGCCTTTGCTTTTGAGATTGGTTAAGATTTAAGGTAAGTGTTTACTATTTCCACTTTGGGAATTCTGGGACCTGTAAAGAGTTCCTGAAATAGTCTTTGAAAAGAGAATATGCAGCGACAGGAAGTAACCTCTGGTTTTCTAAGCTTTTTCCGGAAGCCTCCATGTGTACTTTAAATAGATCAGTTGAATGAGATACAGAACAGAATGAGAGCATTCCTCTTCCCTATTGGTGTTTTTCCCCATGCAAAACTGAGAATAAATTTATTAACATTAACTACATTTCCTATAAAAATTGTAAGCTTTCTGCACGTTCTACCCCCGTGGGAAAGTGAGTAGAGTGTGAAAATCACACACACCATAACTACAATCTGACACTCAAACCTGAGGTTGTCACGTCTTCTCAAGTCTATAAAACTTCAGGTTTTCCTAGAAAAAAGCACAGTGCTCAAAAGCCTCTTCAGCCTGTTTCAAGGCATCCCTGCCCCTCACTGGAAGGGCTGGAAGCTGCAGAGGCAGGGCTATTAGCAGAGAAGCCTGAGTGGGGCTTGTGGGCTGTTGCTCATTTGTTGGAGGATCACAGAAGTTGGGGTTCTTGGCTTTTTCTGGTCTGATTCACGCAGATAGAGAGAGCCACAGCCTCAGGATCAGTCTTGTATGAACATTTTTTTTGAGGAGGAGGGGGGTCAGCTCCATAGGATTGCCAATTAGCCTTACAAGCTGAACTTCAGGGCCACATCCACCAAGAACTCAGGTTGTATGGTGCAGGTCACCACCAGATGGCACGTATTTTTTTTCTTTTTAAATTCTTTATTGTTTAAAGTATTACATATGTCTCCTTTTTCCCCCATTGACCTTCCCCCAGCCGCTCCCACCCCTCAGCACATGCCCTTATCCCCCCTACTGTGTCCGTTGGTTATGCTTATATGCGTATTTGCAAGTCCTTTGATTGACCTCTTACCCCCACCCCCCCCCACCACCACCCTGCCTTCCCTCTGAGGTTGGACGGTCTATTTGATGCTTCTTATCTCTGGATCTATTTTGTTCATCAGTTTATGTTGTTCATTATATTCCACAAATGAGTGAGATCATATGATATTTATCTTTCTCCAACTGGCTTATTTTGCTTAGCATAATGCTCTCCAGGTCCATCCATGCTGTTGCAAGTGGTAAGAGTTCTTTCTTTTTTACAGCAGCATTGTATTCCGTTGTGTAAATGTACCAGTTTTTTTAATCCACTCATCTGTTAATGGGCACTTAGGCTGTTTCCAAATCTTAGCTATTGTAAATTATGCTATGAACATAGGGGTGTAAATATCCTTTCTGATGGGTATTTCTGATTTCTTGGGATATATTCCTAGAAGTGGGGTTACTGGGTCAAATGGGAGTTCCATTTTTAATTTTGAGGAAAGTCCATACTGTTTTCCACAGTGGCTGCACCAGTCTTGCATTCTCACCAGCAGTGCACGAGGGTTCCTTTTTCTCTGCATCATCGCCGGCACTTGTTGTTTGTTGATTTGTTGATGATAGCCATTCTGACAGGTGTGAGATGGTACCTCATTGTTGTTTTGATTTGCATCTCTCAGATGATTAGTGACCTTGAGCATGTTTTCATATGTCTCCTGGCCTCTTTCAAAAAGTGTCTATTTAGGTCCTTTGCCCATTTTTTGATTGGATTGTTTATCTTCCTTTTGTTAAGTTGTATGAGTTCCCTGTAAATTTTGGAGATTAAAC